TATCTCCCCCTCCAGTAAACAAAACGATGGCCATTTGCGGGTGTCTAGCTGCAGGGAAAAATCTCAAAAACCACTGGGTGCAGGGATTTTCTTTGACAAAGAGGCCAGCCAGCCAGGTGCAGTAGATCTGTTTATAACTAGGAGCGTCTCTCAACCTTCCTAGCACTTCCTTACGCCTCCCTTGATTCATGCCGCAGGATGTTGGAAATTCTGACTCTCGAATTTAGGACTCAATCATTACCTGTTTCGTCTCAGGTTCCCGACAAGATCGACTCTCTCTACACATGTCCCGAGTGCGCTAATCGCGCCTACTGTCGCCTTTACGTTTGGATATTTACGTACTACAGTGTACCTTGGCTCATCATGGTAGATGAGAGGTGGCTAGTCATCACTAGGTTTGACAGGCACACGAGGCTAGCGGGAATTTCTCCCTTAGATGTATATATAAGTCCAATGTTCCCACAGTTGTAAAATATCAAGTCTTCTTTACCTCATCATATTCATCCATATAATATCGTACAGAGTATATTTTCCAACACAGGACAAACCGAAGATCGTGAATGGATGTCAGAAAATCTTGGCCGAGGGTGAGTGCAATAAGCCTAGCCTAGCCTAGCATACAAAAGTCGTTACGGACGTGGGGTCGTCGGGTAACTCATGTATTTCAGATGCCCTCATGGCTAGTAGATTCGGAAGTTATGATTAGTAGGGACGATAATGTAGACAAGTCGAAATCTGCTTTTCTTAAGGGCAGAAGGGTCTTTTACTTTGCTTTCGTGAGCTTTTTTTTGGGGCCGACGGTGGGTAGCAAATTTTGGAATATAACGAGGGCTTCTCTGACTACCATTGTAGCGTTTGGTACCGCATTTTCTTTCCTCATTCTCATTCTCAGAATTATTATCTTTGTCTTATTGTGAGTTATCGGAAGCGTTTCTTTGGCGGAGGGGGAGATAACTCAGCTCAAAGTTGAAAAGGTGTTACTCAATCTCGGCTCTACAGACTCTACAGTGAGAGCTTGAGGTTCTTAGGGGACACCACTGGTGGGCGTTCAGTTTTGGTCCGTCAGCTTGCTTTGTTGACTAAGAAATAAATTCGCTTCCAAACTAAAAACTTGATTTATAATTTGATGCAAATTCTATTGAGCCTTGCCTATGGACCATGTCAAAAACGACACAAGAAACAATTTAAGTTGTGAGTCTGATGAGAATGGACATAGCTGTTGTGCTGTTGTGCCCCTTCGCTTCCGGACTCGCACAAGCATTAACCACATTGAGGATCGAACTCAGAACCATCTCGGAGGTTGTACACACACTGTGAACGAGATATTATAACCATTAGACCATGTGTCCTTGTTGCCTGATAGGCTTATATATGAAATATATCTCAATTTTTTTAAGGGTAGTCTTGATCAGGTTTCTCTTCACCCATTCCTGTACTGGATCAGGACCATGGTTTGGTGACAGAGAATATGAGGACGGGATGCTTTGATAGGAAATAGTAGAAAGTGTAGACTGGCATCTTGGCACTGTTCGAGTATAATGAAAATTTTCACCCGCTAAGTTTGGTCAATCATGTACATAAATAATATTAGATTTCACAAAGGAAAACATCATTCTTGACAGAAAGTTGCACAGCGTTCCACGCTGCCCTAATCATCAATTTGACATCGTGAATGTTAATTTTTTACATTCTATACTTTCGACCCTTCTTTTCACTTTCCGTGCTACAAAATGGCGTGTGTGGGTAAATCAAGTGGTTTCCACGCGTCACAAAAAGCGATAATGGCCACACAAAACGACGGCAGTGGAGTGCAGATAGCTCCAAAGAATCCTAACGTACAAATTATAGGGAAAATACTAAAAAGGCTCAGACTTATAGTGATTGGAGAGATGGATGAGGAGTATTGTAAGGGTGGAGAATGACTGTGATGCGATGATGATAGAGAAGAGAGTCAGTGGGCGAAGAGAAGAGTATGAGTCAGGCAAATATAGAAGGTACATGTCTATACCATATAAAAAGATGTGATTATAATATGTTCTATCCATTAACTCTTAACCCCATGTGTGTATGTGAAAGAATCGTAGCCTCGCTTCAACCTCGCAACACATGCCTTGCACAAGGCTTAGTCACTGTTACTAATAGACAACAATAGGTGCTGTCGAGAACCCTCTAATTTCAAAAGGAGGACTTACCATCCATGGAAATTATTAACGAAGCCGTGAAGGTATTCAATGCTCATCAAAGGGCCTGGACGCAAATATCCCAGGATCCGTCTCCAATCGAGCAGAGGATGATGGCGCTAGAGGAGGTCGTCAAGAAGAGCCTCGCGGACTCCGCAAATAGCGAATACGGAAGTTAAAGTAAGAATTGACGGCGCCCTCAACTTGCAGTCACAAGAGCTGCTCTCAAAAGAACAGCAACATATCCAGGGCGCATACGCGAATCGTCAGATGCGAAGCAATGACACCGAGGTGTTTGTCCAATTGGCGTCACAGAGAGAAGCGGCGCTCAACATGCGACATCCTCAAGAATTCAAGGTTTTACGACAAGACTTTCCCGTCGAGGTTTCTGGTGTCCCTTTGCGGACTCTAATTGAAGGTGGCAGAGATGCCGAAAATCACGCGATAATCGGGGAGATTGAGATAGCGACTAAGGCTCGAATTTATGGCCTTGCGATAAATCGAATAAGGTAGTTACGTGATGCCAAGGAGCATCAATGGTCGAAACAAAACGTTCGCAATTGAGGGTCAATTGTGGTCAGCCTCCCGTCAGAAGCATTAATGCTATGATGTTCACCGCGCAAGTATGGTCAACACGACTCTAGCCAAAGCAGTGCTTCAACTACAGCCAATGGGGACACACAGGCGTCGTGTGGAAAGACAGCTGGGTGCGATGACTGCGCTGGCGCTCACGAAACCTGGGACTGCCTGAGGAAAAGGGTTTCTTGTGCGAACTGCGGCAAGAAACACCGCTTGTGCCAGAAATCAGCGTTTCGGACTTACCAGGCTTACAATAGAAGTGTGGAGAAGGCTCGGATAGAGGTATTATCGAGAATGGCGGAAGTGTGGAACGAAAAACCTTCCATGGCGCCAATGCGAACAATCGTTCCGACTGATGATCACGGGTTAATTTTGGTCACCAGTAACAAAATTGAAGGACTCAAAATAGGGCCGGGACAGCCACGCAAGGTAGTCGAAGTCCCAGCTATACCAACCATTTCCGTGACGGTCGTATTACCATCGTGACCGACTCTTCGAACACTTCGAAGATAAATGCCGAGTGAGGAGGTGCCTTCCCTTTTCAAATTTTCCTGGCAATTGTCTGACCGAAGGGGGGGTTAATGATATTCAAGGGAAAGTTTAAGAAATAATGGTTGAAAGGAATGGCCTCAGTATTAAGCCGGGTCGGTTCAGAGTGATAGGATATCGGGTTTTGTTGAAAACTTTTTCCCTTACCAAAGCGGCTTACCGTCTTCATGGTTCTGTATATAGATACCGCATAGGGCGTTAAACTAGAGAAATGAATAAGATGCATGAGATTTCACATCATCTATTAGATAATATCATCAATCGTTGGAATGGGCATCGAGTATCTCCTTTTAAAACTCCATTGTCAGTATAAGTACACACTTGTCACCCACTGACACCTATCTTTCACAGTGATACACACTCAGTATCCAACGCGCCATCCTCGCGACTCTTTTTTTTTTTAAATCATTGAGTGTATGCAGCATAACTAGCTATGACACTAATCCTCGCGACTCGCCACTGCACATGGGCCCGTTTAATTCCCAAAAAGAACAACAGACTCATCCAATTGCTACACTCCTCTCAGCTCTTTACCACAACACCCATAAGAGTATTTAGTCGTCGTTTCTAACTTAAACATGATTGATCATTGGCTCAATGAGTGAGCACTATTAGCTAGCCTTCATAGCACGAATGCTGCTGGACCAATGAAGTATATGACGCCTGGATGGCGGGTGGGGATGCTGGGACGAGACATGACTGCGACTGAAGGGAAAAGACAAATGAGAGATTCGGAGGGTATCAAGGGCTCGGGTGCATGGTGGCTGAGTCGGAAGAGGGCTTCGAAGCGCCAAAGTCGGCTTCTCCGGACAGTCAGACTTGACATGCTCAACACATGGGTGAAGTCTGAGGCCTTCCAGTCATTCAAGTGGGGCGAAATCTATATGCTTCATGGTAGTTTACGCGATCTATCTCAGGCAGAACTAGGCTCAGCTCTGCAAGACTCGGGATTTTATTCCCAGCATATCTTGGGCTCCTGCTTCGCAAGAAGGTATTCATACGTTTAGTAGCCCGCAATGGTCCGTACATATTTCAATCAGAAGCAAAAGAGATCGTCACTCATGATGGAATTTTGCGCTTTATTTATTTTTGGTTGAACTTGATGAATATTTTGTGACCTGCTCACGGCGATGTGATCGAGACTACAGGCAGTAAGGGTAAGAAGACGATTCTTCCCCTTGAGCCCCCCACATATATATGTATTTATATGGATTTATGCATAAAATCGCCTGTGAGACACCAAGTGCACTTCTATCCTAATTCATCTCGAAAAAACAACTGAATGGTATCAATTGGAAATATCTATACAATTATATTCTATTTAATGCTTAAAGGTGCAGAAACCCTATTTTGGGCAATCGTTGCCTAGACACCTATCTTCAATTCTATCCGCCTCTTACATCATTAAACGCAAGGGTTGCTCATAGCATTAACTGTAAGAAGAGGAAAGTATCCTTATCGAAACATTATTTGAGTTTTTAAAAGTATAATTTCCATTGGGTTTGCCCTAACATGCCACTACGCTTTCTACATAGAATAGTAGAAATGATAGCTGTGATCAAATTGATATAAACACCTATAATTTCTTTGCAAATTACGCCCCTCGAACTTTCATGAGCAGCCCTAGAGCTCATCATCTAATAGCTCTGTGAACTTTTCCAATTCTAATCAAGTATCCACCTGGGTGCTCTGCTACCAAAGCCAGTTCCGACAGTTATTTGCGCCGCAAAGACATCTCGTCATTCCCTCTTCCTTCTGATCAAGATCCTTATCTTCGCCTCTTACCCCGCCGGCATAGTCAAATGTTAATTCGGTGAAGCGAGGAATCTCTCGGAGTGCGAAGAAGCATAAATCATGAAACGGCTTGTTGGCGAGGTCACGAACCACAGCAAAAATCCTCAAGTTCGGATCGCAGGAGTGGTTAATAAAACGTGTAGGCCCAGCAAAATACTCGCCATCAATTTCATAGGGCTCACCGCGTAGGCGCTCATCACTAGAATTGGGATCGGTAAACTTGTCGAGTGCGAAGAGATAGACGTCTTTTTTTTGCGACTTAGTTGACTGAGCACGACGCCAATTTGCCTCATCCGATGTAATTAGTTCGCCAACATAATTACCTACGAACTGACCTTGCTTGATATCTTCGGTTGAGCGGAGACCTGGTGTGTTGGTTAGCGATCGGTCGTCTTTGATCACGAGGTTGAATAAAAGGAAGGGTCAAAATAAGACTTGCCCCAACCACGATTTACGGTCCGGAAGATCTGCAGTGGCAGTTGTCGGCCTCTGGACACAACTTTATTTGGACAATCATCAGGACAGCCGCATTGTCGATTGCATTCGTAAATGGGCATCCTGGAGCTTAGCATCTCCCCTCGTAAGCAACCCTTCCGCCGGCCTACAACATGGTAGGCGTTGATGCTATAGTTTTCGTCTTCAACGTCAGATGTTTCGATATCATCTAAACAATGGCAGCCTGCCTTGAGACAATCGAAGGATGTCTCACAAGTACAGCCGGCCTGAAACTCTTCATCAGCTAGCTCGACTCCATTTCGGACGATATTCTTCTCAATAAACTCAAAATTATCGTCAATTATCTCATCGGATTCCATATTGATGATTGAAACTGGGAATAGCTGGTATGAAGACCATGATTGAAATCGACACCAGTGGCACATTGCTCGCTCAGCTGCTAAATCTGGATTATCATCAAAGTGGTTTAGACTATGTGCCAGCTGCATCGGAACAGTGGGGTAGAGGTTTCTACTCATCTTAATAGCTCTGACCATTTTGTGCTCTTGAATTTGTGCATTGAGAGCCCGAAATAATATATCTATATCGGATACCAAAAATTAGATTCTAATCAGTTAAATGTTAGTCACGTGATGACGTCGCTTCGGCTGCATCCAATGGATCAGGCTCCAGCAGTCTAGTTGAGGGTGATGGGTAGTTGATACCTGCCCAATTTCGACACCTTATCGATCTGTTGTTTTGGTAAGAAACAGCGGATGTGAATTAATCCGTTAAACATATCCTGACGAGAGTTGCTCGAGCAGCTTTGAGCTAATTCCACCATGACAATGGAGACACCACTCAGGCTTTTCAAAAAGTGGCTGAATCTTGGACAGTTAAAATGTGTGAAAATATAACCTGGGAATCATGTAAATTCTTAGGTGAACTTTTACGTGCTTATACTTGATTTACTCGATATAAAAGTGGCAAGGCATCTGAACAAATCCTAAAGTCATTCGAGCTATATCCTGACAATCTACTCAAGTGAGATGAAGATTTTTCATGCGAGATTCGTGGGAAATTTCGGCCTTAGCAAGGAAATAATGAGCTTTCAGTCATTGAGGTTGTAGAGCGTATTCATTCAAGTAACTACCAAAGTAAAACTAAATACAGGTTTTGTGGTCACATGCGTGTCAACAACGTGGCCTACTTGACAGCCCCAATTATTTAAACATCCAACAGACTCTTAAGCTTAGAGCTCACTCGCTATCTATTTCGCCTGAGGTTTGTTGGAGATAATGGCACACTGTGTTCTGGACGTCTGGGCCCCCAATTTTAGCTAAGTTCCCGACACGATCTTGCATGTAGCAAAGGGTTTGAAATAATTTGTATGGTAGCGCTTCAGGCTATTTCATGGATACAAGGGCGGCTATATGGCGTGGGCACGAGGATTTTATTGGGAGTTTTCCATGCCTTGATAGCGCCACAATCGTTTAAGCTGTGGCTTGGGCTCTGTGTCGCTTACACTTGTACATTAAGCGCACACCCCGCATTCGTTTGGACTACTTTATCTTTCGTTCCATAGATGTTGCGCCCATTTTATTCCGCAGTATTTTCATCGCGGTCCCCGACAAAATAGATCCCCTCTAAAAATGTCTTGGATGTACTAACGACCCTTGCTGTCGCGTTTAGGTATGCATATTTAAGCTCTGCAAGTAGATTGTCTCATCGTAGTAGATGAGAGGTAATTGGTCATTAATGAGTATGACAATCACAAGAGACTAGCTGGTATCTATTTCATAAATGTATAAGTCTAATGTTCCCAAATTTGTAAAGAAATAAGCCTTCTTTATTCATTCTGTATTCACATATTAAGGAGATAATGACACCTCAGTCATTGAGGTTGTAAAGCGCATTGATTCAAGTAACTACCGAAGTGAGACTAACTTCAGGTTTTGCAGTCACGTGTATATCAACAACGTGGCCATCTTGATAGCCCCAATTGTTCTAAATTCCAACACAAAGTATATTATCCAACAAGGCTAAGTATCCGAAATCAAAGTCTCGAGCTCATAGGATATAACAGGAGCTACTGTCTCAAGATTCTCGATCCAATCTAGAAAATTCACCGATTTAGTCACGATAATTTGCTACTAGTTTTCAAGCCCAGCCAACGCACAGACAGGAGGGCAAGTCTGAACAACTGTACGCGGTGTCCTCTACGAACCTAGGAGTGACATATTCTCCCAGAACCAAGTCTAGTCAAACTTCGCAATATCAAAGAAGTTGGTCCACGAGGCAAAATTTTAAATTACTCCTCCACGTCGTTTTTTGACTCCCAACGAGTTTGACTTCTACCTAAGTCTCATCAAGTCTACAAGTACGACCAAGTACATCCTCATTCCAATGACCACACCTCTCGTCGACTTTCTCTGGCCTCAGCTGGTCACCAAATACACGCCCACGCCGATATTTATATCCGACGGAGGACACAAAGCGTGGCGCACAAATCTGGGAGACAGTTCTTTGGGATGGACTTGAGAGGGATCAGAACAAGTTTACAAGATGATGCAAAGGAAGGATATAACCTTGAAGGGCGTGAAATTTCGAATTTTGGCAAGAGTTCTACGAATTGAGCTTTGTGCGCGCCAAGACTTCGCTTGCGAGAGTGCAGCTGACACTGTAAACACAAGCCAAAGATGGAAGGTGTTGTGGTCCGCCTCCTGGTGGTGTTCTCCGGTATAGTCTGAGTAGCCCAGGCACCTACTCCACTTGGGAAGGAAACGCCTCAGACCATATTTCGCGCGGAGAAAAGTTGAAAGATGATGGAGGCATGTCTGGATAACTCTGGGTTTTTGAGACGTTCCCCTGGGTAGGTATTCACGGATGAGGGCTGACTTGAGGTTGAAGAAAAAGCCGCCATAACTTCGTAGTGGTACTTGCATATGAAATCTGAGGCATGAGTGCTCTTCTCTTTCGTTGAATCATCTGTTCTATACTTTTTTTGATATTGTGTTATAGCTAGATAGCTGCAAACGCAATTAAAATCTGATGTAAAAAAAAAGGCACAGACAACTTTTTCCTGATCCTACAAAACATCTCAAATTTTCAGCTCACAACTTTGCTGAATTCATTGACGCATAGCCCAAAGCTAAAACTAACCCTACAGTCCCCCACCCATGGATATATTGCGTGTATTCAGTCACTTATCCTCAGAAACCACCAACAAATACGCTATCGCACGCTGACCGAGTGGCAGAATGTGAGCTCCCTTCATTTTGGAAACCTCCCACCAGCAATTGCACTTGACCTACGGGCCATTACTATGGGTCCCGTGACTTAGGGTTGCCCATATACTTTCCTGGTAGTCCCGGGTAATATAATTCAGTAGGATCTACTGTTGTTCAATGATTCTTCTATTTTGTGGTATATCCTAAAAGGAGAAACTTGTATGTTTTAGACAGGATATTTAAGTCCAAGTGCGAAGCCAATGTGACGTCAACCGGTCCCACCGTACCATCAACCTGGCACTTGTCAATTACTATAGACCTAGAGTTACTTTGTAAACATAATTTAACTTCGGAAATTCATGTAGTAATATACCGACATACTTGGATATAACACTCGTACATTGAAAATTGGAGAAGAAAAGAAATAATCTACATCCCGCAAATTCTTATTTCTAGTCACAGTTTTAAGCAGTCGTTATACGACTCATTAGATATTAGATACGAGACTTGAAGTCACATTTTTGCTGGAGCATTGGCTCGCTTATTACCTGTGATGCTGGCATGTTCCGGAATCCATCTTACCATGAAAGTTTCAGTCAACACAATTGAAGTGCGAATTATTCCATGGCAGTTATATCATAGCCCTTGAAACTAATTGACATGCTTAGAACTTGATGGAGTCAAGTTGCTGGTGTGCAAGCGGATAGCAGCTTCCTCATTGTCAGGCTGTTATGAAGCTACTTATGGACAGATTTACAAAGCTGTTAAGCTGCAGAGGTCGGGTCAGTTTCGACAAAGACGAAGGGTGCGAAGGCTACGAGGTTAGGAATGTATCCGGAAGAGTAAAACAAGTAGATTGATCGAAGGGTACAAAACTATTTGTCATAAAACGAGCATTGTTAGAACTAGTGAGCAAGTCCAAATATGTCGACCGACAAATTCTACGCTCCACTAGCCTAGCTCTGGCCAAGCGGAGAAGATAACTTGTGTGCCACCACTTCTAGATTATCTCCAACGAGTTTGTAACACGGGCACGTTGCAACGTTGGTGGCATATTTTGCCATAACACGCGCGACAGTTACCTCAGGACCTTCCGCTAGGCTGATTATCGAAGCGCAACACTAGTCAGATTGTATTACTGGAAATCATAAGTACTATGTTGATAGCCAACCCTACAGCTAAAATGGTTTTACGAGGGGCGCTACTTATAGCGTATATTACGTAATCCAACACGTGACCTATCAGCTGAGGATTGAGCCTTCAACTGTTACCGATGGAAGAGAGATGGCAGACAGATTTGCCAAAGTCTCCCGCATAAAAGGCCCAAATGAGGTGAGCGGAGTAGGCAGCACGAGGGTCTGCTTGCACATGATAGGGAAGGTTCAAGATAAGATATGTAATATTTATGGAAATGGAGGGCCAAATGTGCAGCACCTGTTGTTACACTGTCCAAAATTCAAAGACCAGAGAAATAGATGCTTCCAGGGCGTAGATCCAAGAACTCTCCCGACCTAGTTTTGGGCAAAAAGGGGGAAGGAAGCCTTACTTGGATATTTGGACATATCCAAGTGCATGGTAGTGTAAGGGTTTAATGAATTGAGATGTACTTGAAAGACAATAACTCGATAGGAATTAATAACTTCTTCCTCGGGAAGACAATCTACCACATGCTCTCTCATCCCTTGCATGATCTGTGTAGACTAGTCTTAACTCCCTCCATTGGCCACCTGAGAATCATCCTTTCTCCTGTGCCATACTTCCCATTTGGTAGGTGCCAGCCTTGATACCTCCCTAGCGCCCCATTCGCATCTTCGGGAGCGTTGCTCTGCCAGAGCCTAAACTCGAAGACGGAGTGGTCCTAGTGACCAGTCCCAATGCGGACAAAGCCCGCCACGGGTAGCACATAAAACGGAATTAAACTAGGACATTAAATTGGAAAATTGTATTTTTGAACAGAAGGGGGAGAGGATGATTAGGAGGGGAAGGCTAGAATTACATTGTTTAAATGTGTCATAGCTAGATAGCTGGATACACTATGAATTAAGAAAAAATGTTAAAAAATGAGGTGACCAATGAGGCACCCACCCCCCCCCCCCCATGGAGGTGCGCGCAGAATAAAATCTATGTTTGCATCACTGAACAGATTTGTCGGAGAGCGCGCGGAGGAGCTAGTAGCAGCATGGTGGCAGGAATATGCGCCGATGTTGAAATTATGGAGTTCAGAGATGAGTCAGGTGATGCTCAATGGAAGTAATTGATGAAGGGTTTGGTTGTTGAGTTTTCTATGATTTCTGTGTTGGGATACACTATGTCGATCCTACTGGGCTCGATAATTAGTAGTCCCGACCAACTGGTGTTTGGCGAACGGAGATTGCGTATACCCTGTGCTAGCGTTGTTTACTGCTGTTAATAGGAGATCCCGCACGGGCTATCTATTGGGGTTAAAAGGAGTCTGGTACCTGTGTTTATAGAGTAGTCGAATTGACATCCTTTTATCCTTCATTATTGCATAAGCTTCCCTGTACCAATAAAGTTCACGAACTAAGTAGTGGGTTATACATTTTAATAGCCGAGGCACTATTGTTGTAATGGTAAGAGTTTACGGAGGTTAATGGGCAGAAGGTTTACGGATGATTATAGATGAATCAACGTGAACTGCTGATATATTTGGTGTTCAGAACTATGAGGACTTGGGAGGTAGGAAGTGCTAATTATATACACATCTGAGGTAGCTAGACTCTCGCCCTATTTACCCAAAATAGTACCACGGATTATTCTAGTCTCCTCCATCTGGTAGTATAATCTGGAAACACTTTCTATATAATGCTCCATTATTCCTCTACTCATCATGGAGCCACCTGGAAAGTTCTTCCTTACCCTCAGTGATCATTACCCTTGTGCATCGTAATCCTAGCCATCACCAGCACAGCAACTATACGAACTTAGATCTTGTGATGCCTCGGAAGCGACCTCCAGGACTTGCTCTACCGAGATGGGCCTGCCTTAGGCTGATTGCAGCTAGGACTGGACATGGCCATTTTGCCAAATACCATGAGCGACTCAAGCATGAAAATTTCGCAGCCAAACGTGAGTGCGGTCGAGATAGACGCCCTCGGCACTTTGCAGAATGCCGACTAGCCCTACAGCTATGAAGAAATGGGAACCTCCCCCGAGGACAATTGAGATGCTGGGAGGAAAAGGTTGGGAGAAATTTATCGAATTCGCAACTGTAACGAGATGTTTTAGGGAAGAGGCCGTAGATGCAGAGTTGTAAGCTCCCCTAGGGGTATCAGTGGTTATTTTGGTAGTCAATTGCTGGGAAGAATAGGACACACTGCATTGCTTTCTTATGCTTTCTTCGGCAAGTAGAGCCATGCACGTAGGAAGCAGTGAGTCTGTATAGATCACATACTCGTATCACGCCTATTGGGCGTAGGGCACATGCCTCATACGAATAGCATTCAAACAAATAGATGTCAATAATGTGCCTCGCACAGACGGCAATCTTCAGCATCATCAGCGCACGCCGTAACGCGCATGCCCGTGTGTCCTATCTTCGTCCATTGATCCGTCTGAAAACATAAGACGGCCAAGCGCACAGACTTCGCCGGAATTAATCCAATCTTTGTCGATTTTTCTAGCTCCGCGCTGCGTCGAGCAGCGTCTATTCTTCCTTGGCTTTCGACCTATCCATCTCATGCCATGGACCCTCCAAGGTGTCGGGGGAAAGCTCTAGAGGTTATCGCCGTCTAATCCACTGAGAGTAGGAAGATTTCCTGCGTTTCTGCAGTGGATGCTTTGCGTTGGCGCCAGCAATTCGTACTGCCAGGCCGTCATAGGTTCGCTCAAGCCATGCAATAGCTCGGACCTGTCCTGCTTCTCGCTGGAGAGCCGGTACGGAGGCGTCCTTGTATACAAATAAGACTGCTCGTGCCGCTCGGTCCATTGCTCCTTGCACCTGTTTTATTGCTGAATGCAAGCTTTTGGGTCCATACTAGGTCTTTGTGCCGTAAAGAAGTGGAGGAAACGCTAGGCCTTGTATAGCCTGGCCAAGTAGATGGGGGCTAGTTAATCGTATTAAGAAGCCGTTTAACGTGATCTGTTACGATCCGACATGGTTGATAGGCCCTCTCGTCAATAACTTAATTATTTTCATGGTCTACCCGTCTCTCATCGCTCATGTTTATTTGTAGATTTACGTCGTGCCGGTTAGCTGATGCTAGAAGAACAAGCCGACGCGCTGGTGCGCCTCGAATCGAGGCATAAATCAGCCGGACCTCTGCCCTCAGGCCAGGTGCGCCTAAGTCAAAATACAGCAAAAGTGCCCTGCCACCAGTCCGTTAACTGAATCGAAGGCGAGATACTATTTTTTTTTTATCATTTAAGTGTATTCAGCTATGGAGCTATGACACATGACCGGTGCTATGTATACATGTAGGATGACTCTTTTGATGTTAGAGACACTCACACTCTGGATTTCATTCGCAAATACCACTATGAGGTATGCTTGCTTAAACAAACAGTCGACTCTCCTTTGTGAGTACCCATCAAAGGGAATTTCAAAACCTTTGATTCTCCAAGCCTTTCTTTGTCATCCATGTATACCAGTACCGCGAAAAGTGTTGTGTTTTCTCTAGATTCGAAACAATCATCTCCTGTCTCGAGTGGGATACTGTCCTAGCTATCCAGTTCTTAGCTGGGAGACTGACCAAGACGATGTCCCACCGCATCATCCTACCATAGCAGTGTTTATAATTTCGCCTGCACTCCCGCAACCGAAGACTGGGCGCGCACAGAGCTCAGTTTGTAAAGCTCCTTGCGAAGATTCGAAATTTCACGCGCGAGTTAATATCCTTTCATTGCATCATCTTGTGAACTTGTCCTGATCCCTCTCACGTCCATCCCATAGAACTGTATCTCAGTTTGTGCGCAACGCTTTGTTTCCACTGTCGGGTGTAAATATCGGTGTGGGCGAGTATTTGGCGATCAGCTGAGGCCAGAGAAATTCGACGAGAGGTGTGGTCATTGGAATGAGGATTTACTAGGTCGTACTTGTAAACTTAATGAGGCTTAGGTAGGAATCGATTTCGTTGGGAGTGAAAGATTGATATGGTGGAGTAGTTTGAATTATTGCCTCGTGGGCTAACTTGTTCGGTATTGCGAAGTCTGACTGAACTTGGCTCTGAGAGAATATTTTTTTTTGCATCAAATTTTAATTGCGTATGCAGCTATCTAGCTATGACACAATATCAAAGAAAAGTACAGAAAAGATGACTCAATTTACAAGAAGAGCACTCATGCCTCAGATTTCATTTGCAAGTACCACTGCGAAGTTATGGCGGCTTTTTCTTCACCCCAAGCCAACCCTCATCGGTCAGGAGAATATTTCACTCCCAGGATCGTAGAGGACACCGCGTACAGGTGTTCAGTCTTGCCCTTCGGCAAGATACTAACATGGCCCTTCAGCGGAAAAGTCAAGCAGACCACGAGGGGAACCAAGACTAGGCATATCAAGAATCGAAGCTAGACATTGTAGAGTGGACCAGAATGTGTGGCGTGGACAATGCGATAGTTAGACTAAAAGATGCCGGCAAGCTGGCAGCTTTCTAGAAGTCGACAAACTCACGGACACGTCGAGGGAGTGAGATACTCTCTGATCATCGAGCTTTGGCAGACCCTTAGTATTGGAAAGCCGCAGACATCATCACAGCTGAGATAATAGGTATAAAATGATTACCTACATTAACGTGTTGGAAATTCAGACTCTATGTGTCTGAAGTTTCCCATGATTGGAACAACTAAGATTCTGACATATGACTCACGACCTAGATGATTGATATCTCCCTTACTGAGCATGTTTGATGCTTGAGACTCGACTAGTGCATGGTATGGTCTGATACACGTGTAGGCTTTCATCCACCGACCCTGACCCCATACTCATATTGTATACTGTCGTGCGTTTCATTGTCATTGTTAGAGTATGGAACGAGTGATGGATGGTATCTAGTCTGGATTTGGTCTATCAAGATTACATGTATATAAGCTGTCTAAGAATCACTAAGACATATAAATTAAATCAATTCAATTCATTCAACCCATCTTTTATCTCTCCACAGTTTATCACATATTCTCCCGATTCATATCATTGTTATTCTATTCATAAAATCGCGCCCATATTCTTTGAGCCGCCTTACTCATCGAACCCATTCCGGTTTTCCAACATAACGCACCCTCGAATACCCACTGGAACCTTGGCAGGGTCCAAGGCAGTATTGCAGTCCAGATAGGTAGTGAACGCATTGGTCTCAACTCCTATCTGTATCGAAGGAATATCCCTGGAGTGATTAATCCAAAATGTCAAACATATGGTCATGGTGTGTCCTCAGTGGGCAAGGGGTAGAGGAGGGGTGCTCTGACAAGCAAAAGATAGGTCCTACACGGCAATGATGAACAGCCCAGATGATATGGAGAGAATCACAAAACGGATCCTGGCAAAAGGCTGGTTTCAACCATTCCGGCTCGTAGAAGAAGTAGAGATTGCTTTGGACGAAAAGATTAGGCAATGTGGACAAGAATAGGACGGAATTCACGCTGTATGAACAGTATAAATGCACTTTCTGTAGGAAACCACATGTACATGAGACAGCCAGATTTTGGGAGCTTTTACCGGATTGGTTTTCTCCTTTGTAAATATTATACCTAGTTACAGCTGAATGGGCCCACAGGATGTCTGTTGGTATAAATGTCATGGCCTCACTTCCCTATGTTAGTCATAGATTAGTCATCCTACATTATGAGTATTAGTATCTTTTTTTTTGAACAGGAGAATAGACAAGATCCACCAACACAACCGCAGAAACGTGACATACAGTTTACGTTCTATGCACCGTGTTTAAGTATCCCAACAGTGTCTGAACGGGCTGAATGAAATCAAATCAAATATGAATCTACATGACTGTAGAGAAACGATCAAACACAGTTCGGATAGGGCTACCTGTAAGCGATTGAGCCAGGCTCATTCGGAAGTATGGAGAGACGTTGGATCTCTTCAAAAAACTCAGTCTCATGGAGCCACTGACTGGAGGCAATAGCCCCGTTTGGGGAGCTTGGAACCCAGGAAATTCCGAGGTTGGGCTGTCGAGGCCCGCCGTACAGGCGCTTAACCGGGATCTGGATGTAGATGTATATTTTAAAACACACGTGACAAAGGTAGTTTGTCGAACATTAGAGTTCAATTCATGGTCCATCACATCTTGCCATCCGTCCAGAATGCCACCGCGCAAGAATGAAGTACCAAGGATACCCGCTGCAGACGAGAATGTAAGCACGAAAGAGGTGTCAACTGCTGTAAATATTGAGGTAAGGCATACAACCAATTTAGTTCCACTAACCTACACTTGAATAAAAGAGTATAAGTACTTGTGTCTTAAAGCTCATTTTCTCCCAATGCTCTTCACACTCTACGAAATGGAACAATTCTCACTCTTACTCAGGACCTGAACCTCCCCAAAAGTATTGTAACACGATTGGCAAAGGGTGTCCTTCCAGCGAATACCCAGATCCAGAGCAATGCAATGTTAGCATTGACGAAAAGTGCCACAATATTTATAAGCTTCATAGCCTCACAGTCGGTTGCTTCCTACCTTTTCAATTTCCAATCCGCGTCCCACATCTTCTCTTACCCCAAGACTTCTGCTACTCTACTGTCCAACGAAAGTTCCACGGCCTAACGACGCAAGGAAACAGAGCCAACGAAAATGCTGCGATGGCCAATAGAAAAACGGTAACTCCAAACGATGTTCTAGCCGCAATCGACGATAGCGAATTTTCGGAGTGGAGACCACGGCTCGAGATTGAGCTTCAAAGTGAGTTTGGCACCCTGCGACCTGCTCCCCTTCATTCCGACGTCAGGTACTACTAGTTGGGATCCCCTGCAAACAAACGGCCAACTAATTCGGATCCTTCGTTACCTGCTCTCCAGAATATACGGAGATGATCAGCCAACGCAAGGAAAAGTTACAATCTAAGGAAAGCGACGGCTCACCTAGAGCCAAGCGCTTGAAGCGCGACGGCAAGAACGACGAAGTATTTTCAGGCGATAAACAAGAGGTATCAGTATCTGATGAGGAAACATCAGCTCAGGTCGATGAAAACGTAGATGAAGACGAGGAGGATGCCGACGAGGATCATGAAACAGACGAACAAGGAGAGATAGAGGAACCGCTTGAGACTGAAGGAGCGGTATTACCTGATTTAGGAGACGAAGCTCTGGACAACGGAGACGATAGTGATTGAAGTGGATGTTAGGCAAAATCCTCTTACGTAATAATGTGTTGTTCTTTCTAGTCTCCGACCTGGGATAGGTAGTAATACGAAGATTTTTAGTCGCAGTATTTGTAAGACTGAACAGTTTGAAAATCATATGCATAAAATTATTTGACAAAAATGAATGAACCCTAAATTGTCTTGTTGCGCACCCATCAAATAGAGCAATTTGATTTTGGCGACGCTCGCATATGACTGGATGACTTCATGACATACAAATCTTAGATACCTACTTTACAGCCGACTTAATAAAATCGAGTAGCTGTTGTTACAAGGTGAAAACTTTTACTTTGGACTTGGAAACCCGATATAAACTTGGTGATTATGTCAAACTGAGTGATACATGACTACTACTATTCCTTGGTTCGTTTTAATCGCCAGAAGCTTTGAGAATTATGAGATTGTATCTCCATTGCCTAATTGACAAAAGAATTTCTCTTCCATCCCCCCCAACCCCCACAAACGCCGAATGATACGGTACTGAAGTACTTGAAAGTGACCACTTTTCTTGAACCCTTGATTATTTTTCCTTCCTTCGATTTACATGTGAAATAAAAAAAGGCATCGCCTAAGGCTATTTGACCCAGGTCCTCGACCAAATGAGGATTTTGAGTTGAATATATAAGCTTGTAGAAAGAACCGGCCGCTTGCGCATAGTGATATCCGCAGCTTTCTTTCTTATAGATAGATGTAATTAATTACTCTATAGAGGGTATCTAGGTGTAGGAAAAGTGAGAAATTTCGCTAAATGAGTTAAACATTAAAGAGGTAAAGGGGTTTTGAAGCTGAACTTCAGGCCCAGTAATTCATGACGTGAGATTACCCGAATCTGTTTAGTGTGTTAGGAGCCAGCCTTGTTACTTTCAGGTCGGTTTTAATTGTTTGGCATGGGGTTTTAACGTGCGGGATGGATTATCAAGATTTGATGCGGTATTTAATTTGCGCTTCTTGCTAGGCTGCCGATTGGTTGTCAAAAATTTCGAGGCGGAAAATTTACTGGTAATTTTTTTCGTTGGTTGAGAGGGAAGTGGTTTTCTCCTTGGTTTCTTAGCCGGTACCTTCTCTTTCGAAGAAGCTGTAGTATTTCCTAATTCTAATCTTTGTTGTCTCGATCCGGGGAGGTCTGGGGGACTGGCAACACTTCTAAGATCCAAAGGTTTCCGAGGTGTTCCGGTAGGTGTAAGTATTCCTTTTCTAGATCGGAGTTGTGCCTTTGATTCTACCAGTACGTGACAACTATTGCTAGGTCGGAGTTTTGCTTTATTCTCTACGATAGAATAATTCCCGCAGTCTTTGTCGTCCCAGTTGGGGAGACCAACTATTCGTGCAATATCATCGCAGTCAGCCCTAACAACCATATCCCAGCAGTCTCTTATATCACAGCCGGACGGCTCTGGATCACGATTGATCCACGCTGTAAAGCCATTTTTTCGATCCCTAGTTCTGAGGCACATTTCTTTCGCTAGTCTTCGGATACCAGGAACCTGGAGACTTGTTCCGACAACGATAACTGCGTCTGGACCCTTTGTGATATCGGCAAAACTTACAGCTCCAATCGCATCTTCGTCAGGATTATGCTCATTGTAAAGGAGAATTCTCGGGCGCAATCGCCCGACCCCGTGGCTTCGCAGGCCTGCAGCCTCTCGTACGCCCTCCTTCTCCTCACACTCAGTGCAAGGTGGCGCTATAGGACCTTCAAATAGCGAGGCGTCGAAGTCAGCGAGATAGCCACACTTTGAGCAAACCATTTTCCCTAATCCTCCATGAAGTTGTATAGCTTTGGGCCAGGGGCCCTTGACATTTAGAGGCACGTTTGTGGCAAGAGGCTGTATTCGTACGTCAATTCCATCAACATTTTGGGTATAAAGTCGCATTAGGCGGCCTTCTTCAGCTAAAGTTGCAAGCATATTGTGAAATGGAGTAGGGTTTGCATTCTTTGTTTGCTTGGATAATTCTCGCACCATTGCATGAAATGAACTCGTAGCATCGTTACTCCGGTACACGTCAGCGTCAAAAAGTTGCTTGCCGGATGCTTTGAGTTTATGATCAGTGCATAATGTCTTAAAGAGGCCTTTAGATGATCTGAAATCCGGTACTATTCAATCTGTTAAAATTCAAGTAGCGAGCCTTAGAGAAGCAACCTACTACCAGCGGAGACAGAAATTCCAGCACCAGCAAATACAACTATCTTCCGTTTGGTTCTGAGAACTTCTAGTAATTTATTGAGCTTAGGGTCTTGCTCTCTGTGATGCTCCTCATCATTGCTTTGGTTGAGAGAAATTATATCCAAGTATTCTGTGCTGGTTTCGCGTGATCCTGAGACTTTCAATTTTTTTTGCGCTGGCTCTTGCTCGTTTGGACCGTTTTTGCGCTTTTTTGGCAAGATCTTGGTTTTGGAGGGTCTATATTGTGGCGGTACTGAATCACAGGCCAGCGGAGGAGTTGGTGATCGTGAGTCGATGGTAGAAAGAGGTGAAGAAGGTGTTGCAGATGCAGGAGTGAGGGGGGAATCGAAATTTGACATCATATTTACGCAGGTGGTGGAAGTATGGCCCTTCCTGTAATTTTTGTGGCAGAGTAACTTGATTCCGTTGGTCATAGTGACTCGTTTTTCATGTCTTATCTACCTAGGAATAAGTAAGCTTATCGGTGTGGTGCGGAGTTGCAGATCTGATTAAACGGATAGAATTGGCCTTGACTACTATTCTATACCATGACCAATCGGCTCCTAAGGTTAGTCTTGTAAGTTGCCACAACAACCACTATTCGAACACATTTTTACCTTTGGCCACTATGAGCAAGGGTGGGGGTCACAATTTTGTTTTCTGCCCCGATGAGACATTATTTTCAGATTCATCTTTGGGAATTTCTAATTGCAGGTTCTCCAACGCAATTTGCTTATATTCACGACGATTCTAATCTCATACAATATAGTTTCGTGACAAATTCAACTTGGTTTTATCGGTCGGTAAAAATAACTGTCTAGCATTTGGCAAGACCTGATCAACACAATTGTATACGAATAATCCTAAATACCTCAGATTGAGCCTTATTGAATCTCTCATTGGAAGAACTTTCTTAATGGTGTAGAGGTTTGTTTAACTAATGAAGACATGGAAGATTGCGCTAGTGTTGGATGTCTACAGAAAGATAGGGAAAGAACTAGCTTGTATATTTAAATTATCGAATCATGGAGTATCTAGCATATTGTACTCCTCCCAACTCGGTATGAAAAAAGAGATCTGGTTTACAGCTCGTGATGAATAGTCATTCAGCTCAGTGTCTACCCATAGAATTCAGCCACCTTTTCTACGGACCCTTCTCATGTAAAGAGCTCAAAAAATAGCAGTAATCGATACTTGCTGCGCGGGAAAAAGTCTCGAAAAAGTCTGCGGGCCCAGCCAGGAGAGGCCTAGACACCGGGACCACATGAGGTGCGGATGTACATCTACACCTCCCTTTGTAACAGTCGAGGTCGACTTGATCCAATCCACCATCGCCGTATCGGGTGCTAGGTATGCTCCGGAAACTCATCGGATGGCTTCTCCTCCATGACCAAGAGTGAATGATGAATAGAGCTTCAACCCTACCATCTGATCTGATCCAGGTCAGCTTCATGATAATGGTGTCAGGGAAATGTGATGAGAGACGAAGACGATACAGACGGCGAAAGCGATTGGAATTCCCCATCTCAGCTCTGCAGACTATACAGTAAGAGCCGGGGGTTTGTAGGGGACACCACTGACAGGTGATGAGTTTCTTCTCCCTCATCCACGCATACCAGCTCCGCGGGGAATGTTGTTTTGCCAGATTCGAACCGGCGATTTTTTGCTTCAAATGGGATATGTGTCTAAGCTATCGAGAATCTACTTAGGAGATCGACTCAGATGATATGCCACCACACTATCTAGCAATGGCAGTGTTTACAGAGTCACCTGCACTTTTGAAATAAAAGCTTTGGCGCGTGTAGTGCTTAACAATTTCTGAAACTTCATGCCAAAATACAAAAACTCAACCCCATCGAGATTGTATTTACCGCTCGCATCATGTAGTGCACTTTTCCTAATTTCTCCAACGTCTATCCCAAGGAAACGGGCCCATGCCTGTGCACCGCAATTTGACTCTTACGATAGGTGTTTGCTTTCTTGTGGGTGCGTTTACGAAGGCAATTTGAGGCCTAAGACTAAGTTGACGAAAAGCGATGTCACTGATGTAAGGATATGCCGTGACGGCTGGTAAGCCGGTAGCTGCTTGCAGCCTGCGCTGTCTAACACAGCCTTAGCGTCAAACAATGTGGAGCCTATTCCCGTAAGCAGAGGCTTACAAGTGGCAATATCAATATTGTAAAACTTCCGAGAATGAGGGACAAGATTGAGATACAGGAATAGATACACGGGTATACGGATAGTAAGCTGCATCATTGGCTGGGATAATAATCATGTGTAAAGTAAGTGTTGTTATCCTCTTCAATCTGTAGATCGATAGATTGAAAATAAACTACCTCTGACCATAAGATTGCTCAAGTGCCTACGCTTATACTATGACATGTACTAGGTCGTACTTGCAGACTAAATGAGACTTTGGTGGCAACTGATCTCGTCAGAAGGGAGAGATTTATTTGTTGGAGGGTTTTCAGTTGTTTTCCTCGTAGGCCGACTTCTTTGGTATTGCGAAATATGACTGAACTTGACTTCGAGAGACTATTTCACTCCCAGGCTCAGATTGAACTCAGCGGACAATGTCTAGTCATTATCTTCATTTTTATGTATTGTTTGTAAACTGTGCTATAGATCTTAGTCTACTATGGGCAGAGGAATGGTGGAGCCGGTGAGGATCACTGCGAACAGGCCTACCAGGCGCAAGACTCGAGGCGTAGGAGGTACTGAAAAAGGACGGCACATAGGAATGCAGAGGGCTTTCTGGATAGAGTATCCGGAGGTCACGGTAGGTCACAGAGGGTGGCAGAGGACGAGAGTGATATGTAATTAGGATTACGTTACTATTCCTAAAGACAGAAAACAAAGCGTGAAGATCTCAGTCTCAGAGACAAAGACTACTTATTTGTCCTTGATAGGCAATAAGGCCTAATGGCACGAACCTGGGTGTGAAATACTCTCCCACAGCCAAGTTCCGTCGAATTTTGCAATACCGAACAAGTTGGTCCACGAGGCAGTGATCCAAGACTCTCTACGAAATCAAACTCTGCCGTCCAACGAGTTCGATCTCCACAGAAACCTCATCAAGTTTACGAGTAAGACCTTGTACATCCCCATTTCAATGACCACACTTCTCATCGACTTATTTCTGGCCTGAGCTGGCCACCAAAGACACGCCCACGCCGATATTTACACCCAACGGAGGAAGCAGAGCGTGGCGCACAAATCTGGGAGACAGTTCTTTTGGGATGGAAGTGAGAGGGATTAGAAAGAGTTTACAAGATGATGCAACGGAAGGATTTTGTTGGAAATATCACGCAATGAAATGGGCGTAGTATTCCGTGAACGAAAGAAGCCCACAAGAAGGGCGGGAAGTGTGCGCTACAAGTACAAGTGTAAGCGACACGTAGCCTAAGCCACAGCATAAACGAGTGTGGCGCCATCTAGGCACAGTAAACCCCCAATAACCTCCTTGTACCCACGCCATACAGTTACTTATATCTCCATTAGGTAGCCTGAAGCGCTACTACATTACCTATTCCAACCTCTTAAATACACACGAGATCGTGTCGGGAACCTCGACGAAATGGAGGACCCGTACGTCCACAACACTCTGTGTCTCCATTACCAACAGATTTAACCTCGATGGGCGTTAAATTTGGAATTCTGACAAGGAGTATAACAAATTGAGCTTTGTGCGCGCCAAAACTTCGCTTGCGAGAGTACAGCTTACACTATATTCACAAGTCATCGATAGAAAGTGCCGTGGTCCGCCTCCTAGTGGTGTTCTCTGGTATAGTCTGAGTAGCCCAGGCACCTACTCCACTTGGGAAGGAGACGCCTCAGACCATATTTCGCGCGGAGAAAAGTTGAAAGATGATGGAGGCATGTCTGGATAACTCTGGGTTTTTGAGACGTTCCCCTGGGTAGGTATTCACGGATGAGGGCTGACTTGAGGTTGAAGAAAAAGCCGCCATAACTTCGTAGTGGTACTTGCAAATGAAATCTGGGGCATGAGTGCTCTTCTTGTAAATTGAGTCATTTTTTCTGTACTTTTTCTCCGATATTGTGTTACAGCTAGATAGCTGCATACGAATTACGCCCTCACGTCTTCATGCATGCATTGGGAGGACGAAGGCTGAACACGTGTCAGTGGTGCCCTCTACGAACCTGGGAGTGAAGTATTCTCTGAGACCAGAGATTCAGTCACGACAAAGGGTGAATTTGTGACTTTTCGTCGAGTTGGCGATCGGGAGGAGTGGTGTGGGCTCATTTTTGGTCGAAAATCTGACTTGCAGAGATTTCACAACTGCACAACTCAACGAAATCATCCATCTACAACCTAGATACGGACCGCAGACAGGCTCAAACCTATCCGATGGTCGTATTATAACAACCGACACCTTCAAGATCTTAATTTATTTTCTCTGGAAAATCATTCCTAACCAAACTCATCTCGCGGCCCTCTCCACAATCATCTCACCATCTACCGAAGCAATCCCATACCTCCAAAAGGCAAATCGCCAACAAAGAAGCAAGAGGATGCCCGACCCTCCGCAACTGCCAGTCACTGTGAAGGTACGGTCGAAATACTGGCCTTAAATGCGTCCTCACCTCGGCCAAGGGCACCAACAACTCGACCTGCGACGAACTGACACCGACGGAATACGTACGACATTTCGCCGGCATACCAACTAGAGTATTCGACAAAGGTTGGGGCACCGCTGCCTCGGTCTTGGGCTCTCAGTCGCGTTTTCGACCTCCACGGTTAGGGGTACGGCAGCGACGGGGCAAGGCCGGGGGGGTGGGCATTCTACAAAGTTTCTGGGATGACGAATCGGCTAAAGGAAAGAGGGATGCTGTATGAAGGAACCAAAAGGGAATACAAACTGAGGAGGCCTTCGTGGGCGACTGGATGAGGCCTCCAGTGAAGAAAACAACTCCTGGATGAGATGAGGAGATGCTGAGTTGAGCCAAAGCTGGGAGTTAATCGAAGGGAAAAGTTACGGATCGCGATGGTGTCAAAGACTCGGGGGCATGGTGGCCGAGGTTGAGGAGGAATTTGCGCTTCGGCACGCCAAAAGGGGGTTCTCTGGACGGTTGGGCTTAACATAATTGAACACATGGGTGAAGTCTGAGGTGGTCCGGTCATTCAGATAGGACGAGGTAGATGTACTTAATAGTAGTTAACCTGATCTAGCCCGGCCCTACCCGTGCTTAAGCTCCAGTAGGAGTGCAACGGTAGTCACTATACCTAGTACGTTAAAGAACAAACCAAAGCAAACCAGACCATTCCATACAGGGTAGCTCTATACAATACTGACTAGTTACTGGGTCATTGCATCCGTACTCAATACTATGTTGGAGGGCCGACACAGTCGCTCGACTATCCGGAAATCGAGGACGGAGACGAAGCAACTACGTCCTGTGATCAGGGATATGATAGTGCAAGACTGAACATCTGTACGCGGTGTCCTCTACGAATCTAGGATTGAATCGTTGTCCCAGAGCCAAGTTCAGTTAAATTTCGCAATATCGAACTAGTTGGCCCATGTCATGTAGAGACATGATTCACTCATGAGTTGATATTGTTCAGACGATCATGACTATATCACAACGTCATATACTGACACGATTCATCGTTTGTACCTGTCAGGATTGCCTTCTGCATAATCTATATATGTGGAGATAACCATATATTAGTATTCTATGATTCTGGTCTGGCCTTTTGGCCGAGCAGCTATGCACCTATCTCATGCGTATTGTAGGATAGTACCCTTCAGCCTGAATACCACATCTAAGACCTATGTCTCCTCCTTGCTATCTACTTGCTGCCTCTGACAGTACCTGTTGAATCGACCATGTCTTTGCCTCAGTGACAGGAGAAATATCATTGATTAGTTAATAGTAACCTAATCAAGATCCTAAACACACACCTGGGACTGGAGAATTTTACTGAGTAAGTAATTATTCCGATGAATCTAGATCTGAAGGAACATAATCTGGTTGCTTGGCTCGACGTATGAGCCTGAGCATACCATGTATAATAAACTATATAGAAATCTATCTCAATCATAATCATCATCTTAATACATGTCACCATCAATAGCTGGAAAGGGCAGTTTAACCATTTCCTTATAGCCCACGAGGTAACGATTCAAAATACTTCTCCATGTCAAATTTCCACACCCAGCGAGATCGGCTCCAACCTAAACCTCATCAAGTCTATAAGTACGATCTAGTATATTCTCATCCCAATGACCTGTGATGGGCTTTGCCCGGATTGGGACTGGTCACTAGGACCGCTCCATCTTCAAGTTTAGGCTCTGGCAGAGCAACGCTCCCGGAAATGCGAATGGAGCGCTAGGGAGGTGTCAAGGGGGTTACGTACCAAATAAGAAGAGAGCCGGGGAGAAAGAGTGATTCCCAGGTGGCCAATGGAGGGAGCTAAGACTAGTCTATACAGAGGACACAAAGGACAGGATACGATGAAGTAGATTAGCTTCCAAAGCAATAATTATTTATTCCCATTGAGTTATCAACTTTAAGTTCTTCTGACTTCTTTAAACCTTTTACATGACCACACCTCTCGTCGAATTTCTCTGGCCTCAGCTGATCGCCAAATACTCGCCCACACCGATATTTACACCCGACAGTGGAAACAAAGCGTTGCGCACAAACTGAGAGACAGTTCTATGGGATGGACGTGAGAGGGATCAGGACAAGTTCACAAGATGATGCAATGAAAGGATATTAACTCGCGCGTGAAATTTCGAATCTTCGCAAGGAGCTTTACAAACTGAGCTCTGTGCGCGCCCAGTCTTCGGTTGCGGGAGTGCAGGCGAAATTATAAACACTGCTATGGTTGGATTATGCGGTGGGACATCGTCTTGGTCAGTCTCCCAGCTAAGAGCTGGATAGCTAGGACAGTATCCCACTCGAGACAGGAGATGATTGTTTCGAATCTAGAGAAAACACAACACTTTTCGCGGTACTGGTATACATGGATGACAAAGAAAGGCTTGGAGAATCAAAGGTTTTGAAATTCCCTTTGATGGGTACTCACAAAGGAGAGTCGACTGGTTCCATAAGCAAACATACCTCATTGTGTTATGTTGAAACAACGAAGTAGTCAAGGCCACAGCATGTATCGCTTGTGTACTGGTTAGTCGAGCATGTATATAGTTTCACAGATGTTCCCGCAATAAATGGTTCCAGATTTAGTCTCATAATTTCTGTCCACATACCAACAGCATATTATTTTCTTAGTCTATTTACTGTCATCCACTAAATATAGCATCATCCACTCATCAATACTCCGCAATATGACTCCCGCATAGCTCATAATCATGAGACATAGTGGTATTTTCAAATGAACGCTACAGTATGAGCGTGTCTAACGTCGAAAGAGTCATCTAAGATGTGGATATAACACCGGTCATACATCACAACTAGATGGTTGATTACACTTATTGTTTCAAAAAAATAATGTCTTGTTTGCGGCTAAACAGACACTTCGAAACATCATGTCGCTGTCGAACAAGTTGATACTTACTCGTTTAAAAACTATGAAGGTTGGCAAGTCATGATCTTCGTTGTAAATAAGATAATAGAGGCTTAGCGGGCCATGTTTGTGTCACAGAGCAGATGAGCAAAATTTTATCGACTAACTATTGTAAGGCTATATATCGTGAGGAAGGTATTCTGAAACGGTATAGGGAAGAGAAGAATCTTTATCGAACAAACGATTGAGTAATAAAGCTTTAGAATGAGACTTGGTAGATTGATACTAAGTGGATATTAAAATAACCTTCAGATGTAACCAGCAAACGCAATGAGCTGGAGATTTCAGAGGCAGAAGGATACTAGGTATACACAGGATTTAGCTGTATGTGGAAAACTGTAGAAATAAACCAGCACAAGCGCCCACGACCCAATATGTTGACATAATCATGATGGGAGTATGTCTTGATTACCAGTAGAACGCCGGCTAGCTGAGTGTAAGACAAATAATGAATCTGCCATAACTTCCAACATATCTGGTGATAAGTGCGAAGGATAAGGCATCAAAATTGAAACAATACTACTAATAACAGAAATGGAGCTGAATTACAAAATTTAAGCCGGAAACGAAAACGCAAATGAGATGTTGCATGACTAGAGTAACAAGCGTAGAAATCTTCAAATTATAACACTAATGAAGGGCGAGTCAGCTTGTTCGAGCGTTGCAGAGATCCTATCTCTAGAAGGCCTACGCTTTCATACTTATTAATAAGACAGCCGCATGTCGAGAGTCGGTATCTTGCTCTCTCACAACTCTGTCGCTCTTTTTACTGCATGATACATTAATTCCATTTAATTCCAACCTATTCACGACAAGATGCAACTCCCAAAGCCGATACTTATGCTCGCCCTTCTCTGTCAACTGGTTGCGTCAGTCGAAAGTCAAGATACTGATCTCGAATTTAAGTGTGGTAGTTCAAACATAAGCATGAAGAGAAAAGAAATGCAAATTTCCATGGACAGAGTTGCGAGAAGGAGTCATACATATTTCAATGAATGTGGAATAACGCAACTTATTTTGAGTTGTTCACTTGAAGATGCAATGGTGAAAAGATACGATGGGCCGGACTTTACAGCCCCAAGCGGTAGTATTTTATTGAAGACTCCGGTGAAGGTGAACCATGCATTAAGGAACTTTAAAGGTGAGATTTTATTATTTGACAATACTTCAATTGAATGGAAAGAGATACTAACTCTTAAAGGTTTAACCTGGGTTGTTCTTAGCTGTAACAAACTCACATGCGAGTTCAAGGGTGTGATACGTAAAACTTACGTGGATATGAAACACAGAACTTGCGACGGAATATCGCGCGTAAAAGCTGGTCCAAATTCACCTACAACTCATGTTTAGTTCGCTGCTTGTTTAAGTGTTGGAGGTTGCTGCAAAGATTAAAAGAATCCAATGATGAATCGATCAAGATAACTGAATAGTAAACATAACACAGTTTTCTCCAACCTGAGGGTTCAACTTCCAATGGATCAGTAGTTTCGCGCGAGGTATCATCGACGTTCGTGGTGCTAGTTGGTTTATCACTTCTACTCATTTTTTGAACCTTGAAAATTACAAGAATAAAATATTCCATTGACTCCACGTTTAACAACTCTTGTAAATAAATGGTCGTAAGAATGCAAAGATACAATCACTTCTTCAATCGTTGTTTTCTCCCGTGTAGACAGTTTTATGCACTAAATAGCTTTAGATTTTAACCCAGAAGATGACCACAGTTTCGGCTGGGAGGACGAAGGCTGAACACCTGTCAGTGATGTCCTCTACGAACCTGGGAGTGAAATATTCTCCCGGAGCTGAGATTCAGTCACGAAAAAGGGTGGGATGAATTTTAATTGATGGATTTTCGACTTGAAGGAGTTGCACCCGATATTTTGGTCGAAGAATCAGTCGGCAGAGATTTCACAGCCGGAACAACGTCGAACAAAAAGTCATCACCACCAACATACGATTCACGAATGGGCCTAGGTCTATCTGGGGGTCGTACTCAAACATCCGACATCTCTTAAACTCCTTTTATACTTGCGACGAAGCATTTCTCAATCGATCCTACACCTGCGACCTACCTCCATAGCCGTCCGATCACCTACCTACACACACCCTAATGAGGAAAGTCATGATGGAAACGGGACGTGTACAAAGGAGGAAGAAGAGGGAAGATACACAGAGGGGATTACACAAATCCCCAATGACGAAAACAACCTAACAGTACAATATGAAGGTGCAAGGCTAGAGCAACGATGAGATCTTGGACGGCATTTATATTTCGGAGTCAATGAGGATGTCAAGGGCTCGGGCGCGTGGTGGCCGAGGCTGAGGAGGAAATCGCGCTACGGCGTGTATACAGCGGGTTTCTGGACGGTTAGGCTTGGTATGATTCAACACATAGGTGAAGTCTGAGGTGGTCCGGTCATTAAAGTGGGACGAGGTTTATCTGTACTTCACGGTAGTCAACCTGATCCGGCCCAACCCCACACGTGCTTATGCTCCAATAGGAGTGCAACGGTAGTCATGTAACCTAGCACGTTAATGAACAAAACAAAAACAGTTTCGGCTGCTCTCATAATCTTTATTACAAATGTGCTAGTAGTTCACTGTTTTGTTTTCTAAATTGTTTTGTTCAACAGTGAAATTTTGATCCGTAGAGCTCTGCTTTATCTTCGTCTTTATATTATGTAGCAGTCCAATTTTTTTAAAATTATTTGATATGTATGCGGCTATTTAGCTTTGACACATGACCAGTGCGGTGCTATGTATACATATTGGATTACTCTTTTGACGTTAGAGACACTCATACTCTGTATTTTATTTGGAAATACCACGATATGATATGCTGGCTTTCACAAACAGTTCATCCTCCTCTGTGAGTACACACCAAAGGGTTCCAGAATCTTTGATTATCCAAGCATGCCTTCGTCATTGTTATAGGTTGTAGCCTTGTATGTGCATCCGGAACTACCCGGCTCCGGCTATGACCAAAAACGCGCTCGATTGGAACAAAACATCTTGCGCGCGCCGTAGACATTCACCGCTATAAATAAAATATAAATTCATTTTTGGACCCATAATTGTGAACAACAAATGTAAAGCCCCTTCACACATATTTTATCTCACCTTTTTACACTACCAGTGAATGTTTTCATACCTCTCCTGACTTTTATAAGTTTACATGTTCCCGGGAAAATCTAGTTTCTATTCCTCCTCGGAATTATCGCAATCATCCGAAAAATCATTAGAGTCACGAATTGATCAATCTTTATCAACTTTCAACGCTCACCTAAAAAGCACCATGCCGAAAAATGTGTCGTTATAATTAATCAATTTATTGTTCTGGATATTCGTGTAATTAATAGAGTTCGGAGTGCCGGCGCACCTACTTAGGTAAGCAGCATGGATTTGATTACTAAGATTCAAATATGTATTACTTGCTTTTGTTGGACAGAATAGAGAATCAAGTTGTTTTATATATATTTTTACCATCACCTAAGTGAAGTCACACTGACCAGTTTGTCGACACTCAGATCAAGAACTCTGTATACTGTCGCTGGAATACCTTGCCGGTCTGTTCTTTCATTTAAAGCTCATCCTGTTGACCGTTCACTGCTACAGCCAGAGAAAGTCAATCGCGTCTTCCCAAAACGCATCATTTAATTACCCAAACTCTAACCTGATAATTTTTGAGAATACTCTCTTAAAATGTCTAACTCTAGCGCATCTACGACAAAGTTTGATAGCAAGACCGACATTGAGGACGACTGCGAAAAATATTATCCCTCCATCCAAACACAAATAGATATCAACGCCTGGATCACATCCTATATGGTACAAGTCGAACTTGTTGAATACTACAATGATGATCTTTTCAAATTATTCATTGAAGAGTTCGTTAATTTTGATCTCGCTCAATCCAAGAGATGCGGCGACATAGTCTTGCGAAAGCTGAAGAATTTACTGTTTGATCGAGGAGTGTACATTCGCAGAAGCAATATCTCTCATGCTAAAGCACTTTCGGAAGTCATGGAAAATGATACTAATGATCGGCCTATTGACACTAACAATCCATCAGCCTATATTGGAAGTCTCAAGGCGAATAACTTTAAATCGCCAAGAATAACCCAAAGTAGAGCTAATGTCCAAAGCTAATTTGAGAGAAACAATCAGAAAATAGATGATAAAAATAGACTCCAAGAAAACCAAACTTCTTACGCTAACACAAACTCAGACCAGAAAACCAATATCAATTTTAAGCTTGCTGGAATTTCAAAGTTTTTCAACAACAGCGAAAAATACTGCAGTGGAAATGACGAAAATTTTGATTTCAAGTTGTAATGGCTGGTAAGCCGATTGGTTCCTGTAGCGCATGTTGGCCAACATGAGCCTAGCCTGATATTGGTAGCGCACGATTGATCGACATCAATGCGTGGATGTATGATGCCACTCAACAGAATATCAAGGCATCGGCATCTAGTTTGGCAGGGCAGCAGTATTGGACCATACAGCTACAACACATGAGAAGAATCCCATTGGAACCGAGAGGGAGGGACTATGCCTCAACCACATAGACAATGTATATATATGTATAGATAGAGACTGAAGTAGTTTTCTCTTCAGAATGATAATTTACATACTATCAACCACATAGTTGCACCAGCGGCTGTTCTTTGATCCGTGACACAAGTTCAAGATTTTTCTGAAGAAGTGTGCATTAGCCGATATCAAAAATGACGATGACATCCTTTCCTCGGTCTTCGTTATGTTTGATAAGGAAGCTCTAGATCACTATCACCATCGTTGCAGTAGCGCAAGTAGTATTCAAGAAATTACCACCCCGATGCACCAGCAATTTGAAGGACCGCAAAAGCAAAGAAATGTACAGCACGAATGGAATAAAATCACCCTGCAACTTGTGTCTGCCAATACCCCGAAAAGTCACTCTTGGATACTTTTGAATATATGGTTAAACAACTTCGGACCATGCACCTTTGCCTAAGAACAAACTTCCAAGATGAGATGATTCTTCGAGATAAAATCTTAGAAGCAGTATCAAGCGTGCCAGAATGTTGTCCTGCTTGCCTGATGCCAGAGGAATCTCTCAGTACCGTCATACATAATATCAGAGGTGCCATTGGAATGAGTTTGTTGTCAGAATCAAAAACCGATGAGACAATGTTTGTCAATCAAAGATTCCACCATAATGATAGAAACAATCATCGAAGCGGACATAAATCAAACGTAGTACACCGTGGCTGTTACTCCAAATCGTCTTCAAGTCGAGTGAAAAGATGCTACTGCTGTAGGAAAGTTGATTGTAGGTCCTGAAATCACTCCCAGGAAGAGCAAAATCAAGTCAGAAATTGTTTCCTTCAGCGCCACAATTATGATGACACAAAAATCTATCAACAATTCCTCGCTGAATACGAAGGAAAGTGTGAAGACGGATCTGATGAAGAAGCCATGATTCTTGACAAGCTGTCCCTCTCTAACAGTAACAAATTACATGATGGGTTTTTCATAACTGGCCATGAAGACAATGATAATGACCAAGAGATTGGTGAAGTTTACATGAATTCCGAACCCAAATCTGATGATGATAACCAGTACGAGATATCTTTGCTAGTGTTACTCCAAGATCAAGCAAATTTTCACGGGCTCACTGGTCTAACTCCAACAACATACAAGTTCAAAGAGGACCTTAGAGAAAGATATAATTGTACCAAGTGGCATGGAGTCATGATTGACATTAGAGCAGGCAAATATTCGACTGCAGGTTATCAACAATATATAGCATTCAAGCGCGAAAAAGAAGACATCAATTTAAATAAGTCAACTAAAATCTCGGTCGCTTTTGGCAAAGGTTCTACTTGTGATTTGCTGGGCTTCATTGATGTAAAAACTCCAATTGTTAGAGTCAATTTCCACGTCTTGGATTCAGATATACCCTTTCTATTATCCATTGCAGATATGAAAAGGCTAAATGTTTATCTCAATAACATCAATGACAAAATATACGCCAAGTTAATCCCAGGGAAAACAAATTCAGGCAAAAACAATAAATTATACGAACAATTATGTTCGGTGTTTATGAAATTTGGCCATCCATTCCTTCATTGGAAAAGTTTTAATGATAATTATTTTTCCAATTTTTTTATGACTGGCGCACGGAGTTCAAAAATTAATGATAAATTCGAGGAAAATCATATTTTTATTAATCATAATATTAATCTCACAGAGCAACAGATTCGACGCCTGCACAAACGATTTGGGCATGCTTCTGTGTCCAAGCTTGGTAACTGTCAGAATACTTAGGTGGTAATTTATATCACAAGCTTGATGTAGCAGTAATA